GGCCCCCGCGCGGTCACGGCGGGCACGCCGTGCCCCGGCCGGTCCCGGAGCCGCCGGGGCGGGCTGTGCCCGGCCCCACGCGCACGGCTCGCTGCGCTCCCGGTGCCTCCGCTCCGGCCCCGCCTGTGCGGCCGCGCTCGGCCTCTCACGGACCGCTGCTGCCCCTTTGCAGGTCCCGCGGGTTGCTGTGCCGGGCCGTGCCGTGCCGTGCCGTGCTGCCAGCGATGGTTCCCCGCTGACAGGTACAGCCCTGGCCTCTGTCGCTGTCCGGTCACCGCGCCAATCCCGCCGCTGCACGGCTGCCCCGGCCGCTGCAGCCTCCCGCTCCCCGGGAAGTGCCCTGTCCCCTGGGAAGCCCCATGTCCCCTGGGAAGTCCTGTGTCCCCTGAGAAGCACAGTGTCCCCTGGGAAGTGCCCTGTCCCCCGGGAAGCGCCGTGTCCCCGGGGGGATGCGGAGCCACCCAGCGCCTGGCCCAGCAGAGCAGGTGTGCTGGGACTCCTCAGCCTCACCCGAGTGCCACTGGTTCTGTCACTGGTTCTGTCACTGGTTCTGGCCTCAGACACGGGAGTGCTCTGCAGGCTGTGGGTCTGGCAGTGCTGCTGTGTGGGGAGGGCAGGGGCAGCTCTGGGGAGGAGAGAGGGAAGGACCACGGGGAGGGAGTGGATTTGCAAGCTCTAAGTGAGGAAAATGGACAGATTTACCCCACTGCAGGAGTCACCCGGCTCCTGGTCGCTGAATGCACTGGGTCCTGGCTCCCTTGGCAAGCGAGCTCCGGTGAGGAGTGCTTGAGCCATGTCTCAGCCTGGGCAGGGGTGGGTGTGAGTGCCACGCTGCCCTGTGCCTGGCCTGGCTGTCACGGTGCTGTCACTCTTCCCGACGCTGGGGATTTGGGAGCTCTGTGGGCCTGTCATGCGGAGCTGGAGGAGGCAGGATGGGGCAGGACGGGCGAGGGGGCAGTTCTGGAGCACGGGCTCGCTCTCAGGGGCAGTTCCTCTGCAGGCTGAGCGCCGGCTGCAGCTGGGGATGGCTCCGCTGTCACCTGTGCTGGGCCCCGGTAGGCGCCGGGCCCTGGGGCCAGCAGCTCCCCGCTGCCCTCCGTAGCTCCACGGCAGCCATGGAGCAGCCCGCCCGTGTGCCCGGGCCGCGCCGGCTGCTGGGCTGCTTCAGGCGGAGGCCGCACGCCCTCGGGGGGCAGACACCGCCGGAGCCGCAGCCGCAGCCGCCCGAGGAGACCCGCGTGGTGCTGGCCCTGGGCGAGGGCCCGGCGCTGGAGGAGTGTCCCCTGTGCCTGCTGCCGCAGCCGCCCGAGGCCTTCCCCAGGCTGGCGTGCTGCTCGCACCGCTCCTGCCGGGCCTGCCTGCAGCAGTACCTGTGCCTGGCCGTGCGCGAGAGCCGCGTGCCCGTGTCCTGCCCGCACTGCCCCGCCGCGCTGCAGCCCCACGACGTGCACCGCCTCCTCCCCGAGCCCGCCCTCCGCGACAAGTACGAGGAGTTCCTGCTGCGCCGGCTGCTGGTGGCTGACCCCGGCACCCGCTGGTGCCCCGCGCCTGACTGCAGGTACCGCGCGAGTGCGGGGTGGGCCCGTCCTGCAGCAGCGGCAGTGCCTGTGTCCCGGGAGCCCTTCCCAGCCTCGGGTCCCGTCCCTTTGTCCTGCCTTGGGCTGGGTGTGCCCGGGGAAGTGTCCAGTCCTGGTCTGGCTGCAGGGCCTGTGCAGCTCTGCCTGCCAGGGCTGGTGTCCTTGTGCCAGACACTCTGTGAGCCCCAGGGCTGTGGCTGCTGGACACGGTGGGCTGCTGAGGGTGGATCCCAGCTCTCCTGGGCCGGGGCTGTGGCTCCAGCTCAGTGTGAGGCCGGGACTGCCACGGCCTGGGCTGGCTGTGCAGGGAGGAGCACCCTGCTGCAGCCCAGCTCCAGCTGCCTTCTCCCCACAGCTACGCTGTCTTTGCCCATGGCTGTGCTGAGTGTCCCCGCCTCACCTGTGGGCGTGAGGGCTGTGGCACCGAGTTCTGCTACCACTGCCGGCAGCCCTGGCACCCTGACGGCCCCTGTGCACCCGTGCCACCGACCCCCAGCCTGGCCACCCCCACAGCACAGCCAGAGGAGATGACCCACGGTGAGACGCTGGCCCAGGGTGGGAGCAGCAGGGCTGGGGTTTGGCACAGTCCTGTGCCTCTGCGCCTCCTGCCTGTGGGGCTGCTGCAACCAGGATCCAGAGTTCCCTCTGCTGCAGTCTCACAGCCCCTGTGCCAGTTGGGCTGGGGTGTATAGAGGGACCTCGGCTCCCCCCATGCTTCCTGTGGGATGGGGAAGGCTGGGATGGATGCACACTGGGACAGGGACAGGCTGGGATGGATGCACACTGGGACAGGGACAGGCCTGGGGCAGGCTGGGATGGATGCACACTGGGACAGGGACAGGCTGGGATGGATGCACACTGTTGTGTCCTGCTCCCCCATCCCATCCTATCTGCCCCCAGCTGAGGCCGAGGACATCAAGGTCTGTCCTCGCTGCAGCGCCTTCATCATGAAGATCAACGATGGGAGCTGCAACCGCATGAACTGCACGGTCTGTGGCTGCCTCTTCTGTTGGCTCTGCCTGCAGGAGATCTCTGACGTGCACTTCCTGAGGTCAGTACAGGGCCTTAGGGGCTGGGGGCTCCCAAAGGAGCTGGGGGGTCTGTGGGACTGCACTGGCCGAGGCTGGGGGCCTGGGATGGGGGCAGCCAGGCCCTGCCCCAGGTTTGGGGTTAGCCAGGGGGAGCAGGGTGGTCTGTGCTGCTGGGGCTGGCTGCTGGCACCCCACAGGAGGCAGCTGGAGCTCAGGGCTGGGGGAGCCTGGCTGCCTGCTCTCAGGAGGGCTCATGGATGTCCCCTGACGTGGGGCCAGGCTGTGCTGGTCTCTGCCTGCCACTCGCAGAATCCTTGGCTCAGCCCCACTCTGTCCCCACAGCCCCTCTGGCTGCACCTTCTGGGGGAAGAGGCCGTGGTCACGGACCCGGAGGATCCTGTGGCAGCTGGGCATGGTGCTGGGGGCACCCATGGTCATCTCCCTTGCGGCGGGTGTTGCTGTCCCTGTCATCACCATTGGGATCCCCATCTACATGGGTAGGAAGGTACTGGCAGCTGGTCCTGGAGTCCCTGTGGTCCTGCTCCTGAGCCTGGTAGCCCATGGCTCTTGGCCTGGGCAGACCTGCAGTGCTCCCTGCTGCCCTCAGCACATCCCTGTGCCAGCCCTGACAGCCCACAGTCCTGCTTTGTCAGGACCTTCTGCTGCCTGCAGCAGCCCCTGCAAGTGCAGGTGTGCTCAGCCTGGGGAGTGGGGTCAGGGTGGGTGAAAGGAGGAAGGGTTTAGGGAGGCTTTCCAGGAACACCCGTGCTGTGGTGGCAGTGCTGTTGTGGCTGCCTGTCCCTGAGGAGAGGGAGGGGTGTCTGGGTGGCTGTGGCTAGAGCTCTGCCAGGCTGGGAAGAGGCTGAGTCCCTGGGGCTGTGCCGAGGTCTTTGTAGAGCCCTTCACCTTTGTGTCTTGTCCTTGAGGTGCTGGGCCAGAGCCGGCGAAGCAGCCTGTCCGGGTGCCAGCAGTGCCTCTCTGTCACCAGCAGCGTCCTCCTGTCGCTCGTTGTGTCCCCGATCATAACAGCTCTCACTGTGGGTGAGTGCCGAGGGCACTGCCCACGTTGGGGTGGGACTGGGGCTGGTGCCTGGGTCCAGAGGCAGCAGGGCTGGGCTGGGCAGTGACAGCTTGTCCACCCGCAGGTGTGGGCGTGCCCCTGGTGCTCACCTACGTGTACGGGACCGTGGTGCTGTCGCTGTGCCGCAGCCGCTGGGGCTGCAGGGGCGGCCGCGCGCCCGGGGACCTCGGCGTGGTGGAGCTGGACAACCTGGCCAAGCGTGGGTCCCACACAGCTGGCAGGCCTGGCCTGTGCCCTCCCTGCTCCAACAGGGGCAGGCCGTGGGAACGGCGCGCTCTCTCTCTCCCCAGTGAATGAGCTGTGGTCGGTGCTGCCCAGCCCCAGAGCGGGCGAGGACGGAGCTCCAGACCCCGCTGCCTCCCTGCCCAGCAGCAGCCGCAGCGCGCGCCCAGGGCCGCTGTGGCCAGAAGGGGACAGCCAGTCAGCCAGCACAGTGGCCCTGGCAGGGAGCATGCTGAGCGAGGGCCAGGACGCCTCTGACAGGTAGGCAGGGTGCCGAGGGGCAGGGGGGCCACATCCCTTGCCAACAGCGTGCTCCGCTGTGCTGGGCAGGGACGAGGACGCTCCCCGTTGGGCTGCTGCCCTCAGGCCAGTGTCTGTCTGCAGGGAAGGTGTGACCATCGAGGTGGAGGTGTCGGTGGAAGCAGTGCCACGTTCTGCCCGGCAGCAGAGCCTCAGCAGTGCCCTGTCTGGGCAGAGCCTCTCTGGGGACTCCCTGGGAGGCACCAGTGACAAGGGCAGCTCCGTGGGTGTCCCTGTGGAGTGATGGGGGCCCGAGGGGGAGAGTCATGATCCACACACAGGCCCTGTGCCCTCCTGTGGCAGAGCCAGTCCCCCTCTGCCAGCACACCCAGCCCTGGGAGCTGGGTCCTGGGTGGGTGCCAGCTGCACCCAGCACTGCTGCACCCTGCACTAGCCCTGCCTGCCCCTTTCCCAGAGGCACCGCTAGGAAATAAAGCTGCTTTCTGAGGGTCCCTCTGTCTCCTGTGGCAAAACTCCCCTGAGAGGACAGCCCCCTGGCAGCCCACTGGTGTGCAGGACAGGCATCACATCTGCATCTGTGTGAGGAAGAGGCCACCCAGCCATGCAGGGGTTGTCTGGAGTGGCCTCTGCCCTGTCTGTACCAGCTGATCTGCCCTGAGAGCATGCTGCAGGGTTAGGGGAGGGCAGCAGCCCCCCAGCTCCCATCTCTGGTGCTGGTCCCCATAGGGATCCATCGTGCAGCAAGGCCTGTGTGGAGGGACCACCTTGGGCTGTAGGTGGGGACCTAGTGCCAGATGGGCTGCATAGTCTCAGGCCCTGGGATCCTTGCCACTCTGATGCTGCTGCAGCATCCTGGGGAGAAAAAGCTACTTCTGAACGTTTTGCTGCTCAGAGCTGGGCCAGTCACAGAGTGAGTAAAGGATTTGGGTTGGAAGGGAACTTAAAGCTCATTGCTGTCCCTTGCCATGGGCTGGGACATCTTCCACTAGACCAGGTTGTTCCAGGCCTTGTCCAACCTGGCTTGAACACTTCCAGGGATGGGGCAGCCACAGCTTCCCTGGGCAACCTGTGCCAGGGCCTCACTAGGGAAGGATTTCTTCCCAATAGTCCATTGAACCCTGCCCTCTGGCAGTGGGAAGCCATTTCCCCTTGCCTGTCCCTCCAGGCCCTTGTCCAAAGTCCCTCCAGCTTTCTTGGAGCCCCTTGAGGCACTGTGACTCTAAGGTCTTCCTGGCTCCTTCTCCAGACTGAACATCCCCAGCTGTCCCAGCCTGTCTTCACAGGAGATGAGGTTGGTGAGTTGGCTCACCTGCACAGCTTCCCCCAGCTGCTCTGGGATTCTCATGTGATGGGGTTGTGCCTCTGGCAGTGCCTTGCACAACAGATCTTCCCTTTTAGAAGGTGAACTCCACCCTCTGGTCCTCGGCTGTTGTCTTGGCTTCTGCAGTTCAGTCTGTCCCTCACCAGCACAGGTTCTGCCTCTCCTGGCACCTCTGACCCCTTCCCTGGCAGCCCCAGGCTTCAGCTCCCCAGCCTGTCTGGTGGCTCTGCAGTGAGTTGTCCAGTCCTGAACTGCTCTGGTGTCTCCAGGCTGGGCTCCTGCAGCCCTGTGTGAGTCTGGTGCTTCAGAGCCTCACACAACCCAGTGCTGCAGCTGGATGTGCTGTTCAGGCTGTTCCCATGTTCCCCTGGAATGGGGCTGCCTGAGGAGACCTCTCAAGACGACTTTTTTCCTTTGTAAAAGTGGGTTTGTTCTCAGCACAACATTCACTTGCCAGGTGGGTTCATCTCAGGATCACTCTGGGAAGGGGCTGCTCAGTACCTCATGCTTCCTCCCTAATATCAACATCCTGGTCAAGGCTACTCCAGATTATGAATAAACAGAATGAACAGTAACAGCAACAAGAAGTCCTAAAGTATTAGTTATTTTTGCAGTCCCCGAGAGCCTGAGCTGAGGCAGCTTTGCTTGGTGACATTAAAACCAGTTTGCCTCAATTACCATGTGCTGTCATCCCGTTCCTGCTGCCAAGCATCCGTCTCCAGAGGGTTTGGTTTTAAACTTTGTTCCTGCTCATTAAGGTTTGTGATGCAGTCTCCAGTCTCTGTGGAGTCCCCAAAACGGCTCTGATTCTTGGTGACCTCACGTTAGTAACCTGTAGACCATTTTCTGTGTGCTCTGTTGATGTTTTATCATGCTGATTTTACTCAAAATGCTCTGTGGTGGGTCCTGTGCCACAGCAAAGGCCCTCAGAGCTGCAGGTGTTTGCATTGCCTCGCTGCAGCTACACAGATGCAGAGGTGCTGTGGCTTCCTGGCAGGGTCAGTGCTGGCAGCTCACCAGGAACAGAGGAGCACAGGGTGCCAGGGGCTGTGCAGGGAGGTGCCCTGGTCACCTCCAGTGCTGGCTCTGGCCTGGCTGTCACAGGGGCCCCAGGATGGTCAGACAAGGGTGCCTGAGGTCCAGGGGGACCCCCTGGCAGCAATGGGGTCTGCTGCCCACAGAGCTTCTGGCTCCCTGGAATCCTGGGGCAGGTGGGACAGCTGCAGGCTGTGGGGGAAAGAGGGACTGGGAGAAAGAACAAGTGTGGGAAATGCACATAAAAAGGCACCAACTGTGAAAAGAAAAGAAATAATGGATCACCACAGCGTGCTCTTATCTTCCAGTGGGCTCTTTCTGCTACACCGGGAGAGCCCACCTGTATAGCCCACACCCTTCCATCAGTGTTTTACAGCCCAATGGCTTTGCTCCTGCCAGAGCAGGTATTGACAGCCCTTGTCCGAGCTGTGCATCAGGGAGGAGCTGCCTCTTGACACACCTTGACAGAAGGTGCAGTTCTGTGGGTGCTATGGGCAGGTGAGCTCAGAGGCGTGCCTGGTACCCCTATCCCTTGAGCAGACACAAACTTTCTCCAGAGGCTCATGTCTGCTCTGTGTGAGACAGTTCAGAAGAGCCATCCTGGGCAAACTGGGAGCCACAGGCCAAAACCCTGCAGTGATCCAGGACCACAGGGACAAATGTTCTCCTCCCAACCCCACCTTCCTCATTCCCCCCTCCAGGAAAGAACCAAGGACCAAGACCACACCTATATTTTCTGGTCTTTTAGTTTGAAAAAAGTATTGATTGAAAGTGTACAACTGAACACGGCGTGGCTGCAGCACCACCGCCAGATTGTTTCACAAAAAAAAACCAGAAAGGGCCTTAAATAATCGGGTGCAGATTAAAAAAACCTCAACAGTGAAAAAGTTCTTCCCTCCAAACAGAAATTCACAGGCACAGAAATGGCAACAACCACATGGAGACAATGGGGGGACATCCTCCTCCTCCTCCTCCTCAGCAGACTGCGGTGCAGCGCTCCCGGGCGCGGCTCATCCTGGCTCCCTCTTTGGAATGGTTACGGATGAACAGTGCGACATGCCCTTGCTAACCAGACCCGCCCCACCCCCCGACCAGGACACGGACAAACAAGGCCTCTGCTAAGGCTAAAAAAAGGACAAGACCTGCAGTCTTGAGTTCAGCATGGGTAAGAAACGAGAGTCTGGTGAGCACAGCCCAGTCCCCAGGTGGGCCCTGCTACTCCAGTTTGGCCTTCTTGGTGCTGTCCCCACCGTTCTCCTCTGCTGGTGCTGCTGCCTCCCCCAGTTTCCGCTTCCCACTCTCAGCGGGTGGGTGTGTGTTACGGGGTTTGAAGCTGATAATGATGCAGGTCATGTTATCGCAGCCGGTGCCATCCCCTGAGGTGTCTGGAGCCAAGCACTGATCCAGCAGCTGGGGAGGGACAGGGCAAGTCAGCAGAGAAAACAGACACACACTGGGACACCACCCTGAGGCACTGGGCCTGTTCCAGCACCTGACAGTGGTCAGGGACAGTGGCCAGGCCAGATCTGTGCAGCAGGAGTCAAATGCTGTTCCCACTGGACAAGGGACAGAGATGGCCTTGGCAGCCCCAGGTTCCTGAATGTGAGCAGAAGCTCGTTTGGCTGGACAGCACCCCTGCGGTCAGACACTGGCTGGAGTGCCCAGGGAACCCATCTGAGGGAGTGGGAGGGCAGAGCCAGGCACTGAGCCGGGATGCAGGAATGCCACATTGCTGGAGGGACACAGCTCCCCTCTTACCTCTTCTACGATGGAGGAGAGTGGCCGCAGCACTCCATTCTCATCCTTTTGGGTGATCTTCGACTGGATGAAATCCACCACTTCCTGGCTGCTCATCACGTTCCTGCAGAGCAGAAAGGTCAGGAAGGTAGGCAAAGGGAGCACACATGCCATAGTGTCCAACAGGCCTTCCTCAGGCTCAGCTCTGGAGAAAGGCTGGAGCAGTGATGCCCCAGAGGCACAGCAGCTCCCTCACCACTCACCAGATTCCATCACAGGCAATGACCATGAAGTCGTGGTCATCGTTTATTGTCAGCATTTTGATGTCAGGCAAGGCAGAGATCATTTGCTCTTCTGGAGGGAGGTTCTTGTTCCGCTTGTAGAAGTGATCCCCTGTGTGGGGAGGAAGATGTCTGGGCACAGGCAGTGCTGTGCCCTGCCACAGGGCATTCCCAGTGGGATCAGTGAGTGCTCCCACAACCTGGAATCAGGCTGTGGGCCACAAAGCAGAGGAATCATTGCAGGTTCCAGGTGAAAGCTCTGGCAAGCCCAGGGAAGAGGGGTCTTGGCCAGCTCAGCCTGTCCTTACTGCAAACCAAGTGCCCCTTCCCCACCTCCTGGGGCCAACAGCACACAGCACCCGTCACCTCTGAAGAGGCTGGGGCTGCCCCATCCCTGGAACTGTGTAAGGCCAGGCTGGATGGGCCCTGGAACAACCTGTTCTAATGAAGGTGTTCCTGCCCATGGCTGTGGCTGGAAGTGGTTGAGCTTTAAGGTCCCTCTTCCCATCCAAACCACTCCATGGTTCATTTTATGATTTAAAGTTCCCTTGAGAAAACTGGCCCTCAGCTCTGACTAGCAGCTTATCAGGAATCATCCTATGAATGGACTTCCAGGGCCACCACAAAATAGCAGGTGGGAATGCCAGTGTCTCCCTAGACAAACACCTTATTTCTGCCCTAGAGGTGTGGTTTATATCTTTACACTAAGATAATGATTTCAGTGGTTTGGGTCCTTCTGTAGACACTCAGATAAATAAATGGGCTCAAACTAACATGAAGCCAGGTCCCCAGGAAGCAACACACCAAGATTCCTCAATAACCCAGTAAGCAGGAAAAGTCCCATTCCAGAGGCAGCAGTCTGGTTTTGGGACAGTTTACATGAGGTGGTTTCTGACAACCCAGCTGCTGGCACGCCAGCCTGGGATGTGTCAGATGCTGCTTTCCACTGATGTCCAACTGTTTCATGGCTATTTTCTCCAATTAGGCTGAAATCTCCCATCCAACATGGAAGAGGTTTCACTCATCTCATTATAAACTGTTCCACAACCTCAGTGACTGGCAGTGCTGTCAGTGTGGCTCTCCTGAGGCCAGGCCTGCCAGCGTCCCCCCTCCCTGCTTACCGATGGCCCTGGAGAGGTTGAGGCCGCCGTTCACCCTTCCGTCCATGGTGACCTTGCCCCCAGCATTCTTTATCCTGGCCAGCTCCACCTCATCCTCTGGCTTGTGGTCGTAGGACATGTCGACGGCCTTGCCGCCCTCCGACACGACGCAGCGCGAGTCCCCGGCGTTGGCCACGATCAGCTGCTTGCCCCGGATGAGCGCCACCACAGCCGTGGTCCCGCTGTCTGAGCCGGGCTGCAGGAGACAATTCTGGTGAGATTTCTCTCTCTATCTCCCTGCCAGGTCATTAAGGGAACCAGCACCAGCTGCACAGCCCCAGCAGCGTCCCAGATCCCAGGGTGCTGCACCCCACCCCGTAAGCACACACAGAGCAGTGGAGAAGGCTTGAGGGAAATGGGAAACACCAGGAGTGCATTCACTGAGGGGCAGGGTTAGGCAACACCTCCATCCCAGTCTCATGCAGCGTGGTGGGTCAGGGTTCTGTGGCGTTCCGGGTCTGTACCCTCTACTCTAATGTACCAATTCCAACCCCAGCCCAGCTTGAGCACATTCTCACTTCAAATCAGGACGTTTCCCCAAAGGGAGAAATTGACACCTTGGAAGCCACATTCCCTTCTCCGGACCCCCTGGGTCCCTGGCCTGCCTGATTGCACCATCATGGGCTGAAGAGCCACAGCCCTGCCCGGTGAGGAGTCATGCTATGCCATGGAGCAGTGGTGCCAGCAGAGCCCTCCTGCTCTTGCCCTCACTCTCCTCCACAGAGCTTTCCAAGCACCTCACACCCAGAGCAGGATCAGCCTCTTAGATCTCACCCTGCCATCCAGACCCAGGCCCATCCCTCAGCTTCTGCACAAACCCAAGCTGTCAGCAGCTCCCTCAGCCCTAGGAGAGTGCACAGGGTGTTCTGTCCCCACCCAAACAGGAACAACCTCTAGCTGAGTCTCCCAAATGCCCCTGGCTCCATGCTAAACTGCAGAACACAAAACCAGGGTGTGCACCTCCTCTTTCCCCTCCATGCCCGGTAACAACATTTCCTCCTCTTCATCCTCATCCTCCTCTGCTTCTTCAGTGTCATCTTCATCATCTTCATTCTCTGCCTCTTCACTGCTGTAACCGTCCTCGTCCTCACTACATTCCTACAAGAAAGGAGAGATACCACAGGAATCACACAGGACCCTTGGTGCTGTCCGCCCGCTGGTCCCTCCATCCTGGGGACCAATGGTCAGTTCCCCCAGAGGTGTGAGGTGACCTGCCACGTGTCCCCCACACTTGATGGCTACAGCCAGAGCAGCTGGTATCACTACAGCAGTGGATGAAGGGATGGTGCATGCAGCAGGACCAGGGGCTATCAACTATGGCTGCTGCAGAATGAGGGTGTGTCCTTCAGGGTTAGGTCAATAATCCCAAACATTCCCATGGGATGGCCTCAAAGGATCAGCCTGAAACACCTGCTCCTAGGAACACACCTAGGATGAGCCAGAGGCTCGTCTCAAGTACCACCATAAGCAATGCATTCTGCCCAGCCAGAAGGCCACTCTGTTCCAGTGCTGTTTCCTACCTCACTGTCTTCCTCCTCTTCCTCAACCTCATCTGACTCATCCTCACTGTCCTCAAAAAATTTGGATTTGGTTGTGCGCTGGGGCTTTCCCGTAGAGGAGCAGGAGGGCCCGGCCTCCCCAGTAGAAGAGGTGACGGCCTCGTCACCTTTGCCTAGTTCAGGCTTCTGCAGAGCAGGGCTGTTGCCTCCAGCGCTGGCTTTGTCTGAGGTGGAGGAAATACCCGTGATTTCTTCGTCTGGCTTCCCATTCTTCCTCTCCTTGTGGTCGGGAAGCTCCCCTGGGTCAGCCTCTCCATTCATATTTGACTCCCCATCATGCTGCTTGCCTGTCCCCTCCACAGCATTATCCCCAGCTGCAGCTACAGACTTGGCTTTGAGGTTCTTGGTGCAGTTTTGTCCATAACGTGTGAGAAGCTCCTCAATGGTCATTGTGGCTTCTTCGTGCAGAAGAGCAGCTTCCTCATTATCCACTGCAAATGGAAGAGGAAGGGGACAAGGACAGAGAGCGTGAGAGCAGAACACCCAGCACATTGTGTCCTGTGCTGAGCTGCCCCAGCTGAGGCTGCTGCTGGCAGAGTCCCAGCAGTGCTCCCCAGGCTGACTCTGAGCCAGGTCTGTGCCCTCACACAGCTCCAGATGCTACAGGTGAGCAGGATGGGAACAGCAAGGCCACACTTCTGACCACAGCAGAGCCTGCCAGTGCCCCCAGTGCCCCAGAGCCATTCTTCCTGGCAACCTGACAGCACCACAGAGTGTTTACATCAGGCATGGGGGCTGCTGGTAGCACAGTGTGCACGTCAGGTGTGTGGGTAAAGCCTCATTTGCCCAAGCACAAGCTCCTTGGGAGCTGCAGGGAAGCAGAGCCACCACTTCCATGTGCAGGTTTGGTCATTAATGCTGCAGCTAGGAACAAGAGAACAGCTGAAACACCCCAGGGATGCCCACCAGCTGCCATCTGGACAGATGCAACACGTGAGAGCACAGCTTTGGCCATCTCCCAGGTGGGACCAGACAAAGTGGCATGACTTTCCCCAGTGACCATGGGCCAAACACCACTGACATCCCCTTGCACACAGTTTGCTTTGCTATTTAATCCCAAAAGGAAAACAAATACAGATAGCCCAAATGCTCCTAAAAATACAGAACAAAAAGAAAGAAAACTCAACCACCCACCCACCCTCTTAATCCCTGGAGTGAAAAAAAACCCAAAAACCAACAAATTCAGCATTTCCAGATTACATATTGTTCAAGGTGACAGGATCACACTGCATCTGTCTCAAGGCTGGTCACAAGGTACTCAGTGGGAGCAGCACAGGATTCCACCCCAGGAAACACCTCCTGGGCTGGCAGCCACTTGCTGGTGGAACACTTGCTTCTTTGTGGGAAGAACTGCTGAAAAGATCAGGATCTGCTTCAATCCTAGCTGCACTTGGTGGCTGCCACCAGCCAGAGGGAGCTGAGCACTGCACACCACATCATTTCCCTCCCACAACTGAGTCCAGCTCAGAATTCCTGACATATCCTGGAACCCTGAAACCCATGAAGGAATCCCTATAGAAAATGGTGACAGGATGTTTTGTTATCCATAGCATTAAGCTTGCAAATGGATAAAGGTTCCCCCTCTAGCATCAGCCCAAAGCATGGACATGCTAAGGGGCAGTAGCTCAAGTCAGCCAAAATTTAACTGAGAAACTGGGACAGAAAACCTTGTGCCCAAGGAGACTTGACCCTGCTGCTCTACATCCCTGTCCTGGAGCTGCAGCCTTGTCTGTTCAGTGGCACCTGACTTACCATCATCTTCATCAGCAACTTTCTCCTTCTCATCTTCATCGTCCTGTGGCCGCCCAGCCATTTGAGAGAGCTCCTTAATCACCTCCTCTGTGGTGAGCTTGGCATCAATGGCCAAGAATGCATCTTCCAGGGCCTGTGTGTAAACACAGACATGAGTGGGCAGCTGCCCCTGCCCTACAGGATGCCTGCCTGCCATGCTGTGCAATCCAGTCTCTTCCAGCTTGCACACTGTAACTAATCGCAGCACGGCTGTACCTATAGGCTTCTCCTGATCCAACACCCTGCTCCAGCAGGGACACCCAGGACTATGCCCAGACAGGTTCTGGACAGCTCCGAGAATGGAGAGTCCATCACCTCCCTGGACAACCCACACCCAACTGGGTACTGCCACAAGGGCTTTCCTCTGTGTTGGCACTCAGTCCAGGGCAGAGCTGACTCCTTACCTTTTGCAATTTGCCTTCCTTGTAGGCCTTCTGGTCTTTGATGATCTCAGGGAGGTACTTGGCACAGTACAGGGCAACTTCTTCTCCTGAAAAAGAGCAGAAGCTATTTAAAGAGGCTGCTCCTTCGAGACAGACCCTGCTCTTGAGCAGCTGAATTCCTGAGGTAAATCCTGGGACACAAGCCAGAGCTGCTCCAGACACAGAACAGTGACACAGCAGCTGAGTGTGGGGATCCTGCTTACACCTTCCCAGAAGGATGTGCAGATGGCCCTGGCAAACCTCACAGCTCCAAACCACCAGGTTTGGCCAAAGCTGTGAACTTCCTGACAGGGAGCTTAGGCTGACTCTTTAGGTCTAGCATACCTGGAAATCTTTAATTTCACATGTCAGTGAAAGCAGAAGGAAAGGGAAGCTTTTGCTAACTGTAGGTTCTATTGGAGCATTACCAATGTGCAGTGAGCACATAAAAAGTGTTCTGTCTCCTAGTGTGTGTTCCAGACCAAGGGCAACGAGATCCCAGAGACTGAGATGAACCTCTCAGGAGATAGGGCAGTCACTTGGTACAGGAAAGAGCACAGCACGATAAACAGCAGCCAGAACACTGTGCTGAGAGCACAGGGGATAATCAGTACTGAGAGACAGCTCAAGTCAAGTGCTCATCCTAGAACAGCTGAGAGATTTTTAAAAGCCAGAAACTCCCCCAGCTTGGTAAGTAATGGTGTCAGGTACGGCTAGGGCATGCGGGCATTTGTTTAGATCCCTAACGTGCTATTAAGAGAGAAGGAAGAGTAAACATTGAGGGAAGATGAATTTCTGTAGTTTATCTTGATCAGGGCAAGAAAGAGTAGCATGAGTTGTAAGAGATCACACTAGTCATTGAGGTTTTTGCACGAGCAAAGAACAGTGTAGGACACAGGAACATGGATGTGGCTCACACCTCACAAAGAAGAAAAATTAGAGCCAGAAACTGAGAAACAAATGAAATGACTGCACAGAAAGAGGGAGAGGAGCAGGCCAAAGCTGCAGGCAAGTGGAAGATCCCACTGCAGGGTCCAGGAACATCCTGAGACTGTGCTGGACCAATCATTCCCTGCCATTGTACAAAGAAGTAGCAGTGTGGGTGGCAGGGCACAGCAAGCCAGAGCCTACCTGCACCTGGGGCTTTCCTGTAGGTACAACCAGAGCCACGTGGGCTCCTTTCCTTTGGGCTACAGGAAGGTTTCCCACAGGATGGAGCAGCCACACAAATACTGATCTTCCTGCTGCACATCCCAAATTCCCTGCCCTCCTCTGAGCCCAACAGAGACTGTGCAGGCAGCTGGGCACCAGGATGAGCTGTGCAGGCAGGAGCAAAGCTCTGTGAAGGAATGGGGAGCAAGGGAAGTGAAAAGAAAGCAGCAGCCAGCCATCAGCAGAGGGAACATAGTGGGAAGCAGAGAAGTGGGGAGATTGGGAGAAAGACAAACAAGGACTTTTCCAATGTACCTGCAAAGAATAGATCAAGTGGCCATTGAGAACACAAACAGCCAAATGGCTGTTGCTACACAGTGCTGCAAAGCATTCCATGGTACAGGGAACAAAGAGACTGGCTCTGACCTGGGAACACTGGAGAGGACCTCTGACAAGGGCCTAGAATGCCAGGACAAGGGGGAATGGCTCCACATTGAGAGAGGGCAGTGTTAGATGGGATATTAGGAAGAAAGTCTTGCCTGTGAGGGTTGTGATGCCTTGGCCATTCTATGTTTTCTCCAAAAACACTTCTTGGAGGGAGGTGAAAATCTGTTAGTTGTCTCCACGAGATGGAAGCTGAAGGACAGTGATGTCCTCAGTGCAGACCCCAAGTGCCAGCTGAGGTTCAAGGTCAGCATTTGAATAACAGATCTCTTGGTCAAACACTACTAATCTCTGCAGGGCCAGCAAAGATCAGGAAGCAACACCAGCCTCTAACAGGGACAGCACAGAAGAGAGTGTGATGTGGGTCAGGCAGACTGATCTTGGGAAGCAGCACAGTGACCTGCAGCTGCTAGCAGACACAAATCCCCTCTGACTTGCTCTGTCCATTACTGCCCCAACCCTTCCAGCCCCATGGTGGGTGCCAAGAAAGGACTGCTGTGGTTTAACCCCAGGGGGCAACTAAGCACCACCCAGCCAGGTGCCCACCTCTCGTGGAGCTGGGAAATGGACTGGAAGAGTAAAAGGCAGGAAGCCCTAGAGTTGAGAGAAGTTTAAAACAATAATAATAATAATTTTTTTTAATAGTGAAAAGGCAAATAGCAAAGAGAGAGGAATCAACCTCAAGACAGATGAGCAATGCAAGATATATGTCAGTGAAGACACGTTATTAAAATAAAGGCACAAGTAGACAGCAATAGGGACTGAGCAAACACTCCCTGCCCCTCACTCAAGGGGCAGAGTCCCCAAATATCATCCTCCAGAATCTGGGGGTGGGGAGGCCAGAGCACATAAAAAAAGAAACTGGGGAAGGAAAAAACTGGCCCAGCAGCACCTTTCAAACACTGGAAGGTTTGTCCACAAGAGGGAAACCTAAAAGAAAAACTGATCAATGAAATGGAAAATGCTAATATGTAAAAAAATCCCACAAACTCACCCTTTTTCAAATAACACAATAATAAAAACTTTTCCCAACCTGTCTGGAGCAGGAAGCTTACTGGAGTGTTTCAGGCTGAGAGATGAGCAAGGTATATAAGAGAAGCTAAATTCAGTTTCTGTACTGCCAGCTAATAAATCTTAGCAAGGTTCCCACCCAAAAACTTACATGGGAGAGACCTGAGAAATTGCTTCAAACTTAAGAACTACTGCATCAATAAAATCACACAATAGTAGGGGATGGCCAAAAGCTGTTTTTCTAATTCAGATTCAACTATATCCATGTCCTTCCTGATATGGTTTGTCCAGGGAGAGCTGTAGAGATTCAATAACTAAAAAACTAAAATACAAGTTAGAAACTCATGCCAGTGCTTTGCCATCCCATGCCTTTCACTAATCTTTCCTATTGTATTTAAGAACCCCAAACACAATACTTAATGTCCCATACTAACAGGGATGTCATGAGTCTCCAAAGCCTCTCTAAAACCCAACACATGGTGTAAGGCCTTGGCAGCTGAGACACCAACACCCTGAGCTCGGAGGAGAGCAGATGGTTTGATACTCTTCATTCTTGACCCATTCTTGGTAGATGCTCCTTATCTTTACTTTTGCCTGACACACACACAGAGTTTCTGAGCTGAGTAGCTCCTGATCCCTACATCCCAGTTGCTTGTCACTCCCTGTCTCCCAGCACCAACTCACCATCCCCACGTTCTCAAAGATACCCTTCAGGATATCAGTGACTGCTCCACATGGGTCTCTGCACACTCTAAGGTGAAGTTCAGGAAAAAAGTAATTTCAGGATATGAAATACATTATCCAGAGTGAGATGACCTCTTTGGAAGAGCTACATCTGCAGCAGTGACAGTCACAAACTGGACACTGTTACAGAGCCAGTGAACAGGAGGAAACAGGCAGCTCAGTTCATCTACTGCACACAGATTTTCAAAGAGCTGTGAAACAAACCATCAAACATTTTCCATACTAAGCTGCAACAAGAAAAGCAGGGAGGTTACATAGCAGCAGTTTTCAAAATGGGGGATGGCCACTGGGACAGCTCCTTGAAAAGCTATGTTGTTCAACATCTACATAAATTAGCAGGAAAAGAGGTCAGTAAACCATGATGGATCATTCAGGATGATCAAAATTAAAATAAATTGCAAGGATCTTGACAGGATCTTTAACAGCAAGATCTTGAGCTCTTACATTACATTGGCAGAGCAAATTCTGTAATAATATTAGCAATAATATTTAATAGCAATATTCAGTCATACAAGCAGACAGAAGCTTTGGACTCCTCTTGACTGCAATAAAAAAGACACTGAATTCAAAACTAAAAGTGAAAAGTACTACCAGAATGATTATTCACTCATTCCTTGTGTCATGGATACTGCAGTGAAATTATCAGGCAGCAGATTTAACCATATCTTTTTCAAATAATGATTCTATGCAAAATGCACAGTGTAAACATTCACCAAACACAGAAACCTTCTTAAAATGCAGTTAGACAAATTTGTGAAGAGTTAGCTCATCCAGAAGACTCCACCATGTCTCCAGGATGGAATGGCTGCAACCTCCAGTTTAAGAAAGTCTTACAGGGAATAGATCTGCCTGTTTTGATTTTTACTCTTTCCTTGGACCACTAGAACACAATGCCTAGAATAAATCTCAGGTGATGTTTCTTACCACTTTTTCTTCTGTGACTCTCCTGCCCAGCTTATCCACCATAAAAACAGCCATTCTCAAAAGGTATAAAAGATGGAATACAAATCTGATTTCAATTTCAGATCAAACCCTGACTTTCCTCCTAGGACTCCTAAGAGTTCAGAACCTCCGCTGATGGTATCTATGAAGAAAATGCTTCCATCAAGGAGCAGAGCTCCTAGCAACAGATGGATGCCCCAGACAGCCCTGAGGGGTCACACTGAGGGACAGGACAGAGCAGAGTGGACGCAGTTACCTCCGTGTCCATCGTAGACAGAGAACATGGCTGTTTCACTGTCCAGCTCGGGAATGCAGTTGTGAGCATCCTGAAAGAGAGAGCAAAGGCCTGAAATGAAAGGGATTGCATTAGACCCACAGAAAACCAAAGGAACACAAATTTGTTTGGGTTGGAAAAGACCTCTGAGACCACTGAGCCCAACCATTGCCCCAGCACTGCCAACCCAGAGTGCTGTCCCATGCCCCTGAAGTGCCACATCCACACTGCTTTTAAACCCCTCTAGGACTCCACCGCTGCCCTGGCCAGCCTGTGCCAGGGCTGGAAAAACCTTTCCATGAAGAAATTGCTCACAAGTTAACCTGAACCTACCCTGGCACAGCTTGAGACTTCTCCTCTTCTCCTGTCCACTGTTTCCTGGGAGACAAGCATGACCCCCACCTGGCTGCACCCTCCCATCAAGGAGGTGCAGAGAGTGAGAAAGTCACCTTGATCCTCCTTTTCTCCAGGCTGAACCTTTCCCAGCTCCCTGAGCCACTCCTCAGACTCCTGCTCCAGGCCCTTCCCCAGCTCCACTGCCATCCCTGGGTGTTGGGCAAGGCTCAACACCAGCATGAGCCATGGACAGAGCACAGCCCTTCTCTCCCATTGTCATCCCTGGGCAAAGCACAAGGCTCAACACCAGCATGAGCCATGGACAGAGCACAGCCCTTCTCTCAAAAGGTCTCTGTGGAGCAGCCAGCTTGGAGGAAGGCATCCCTGTGATTTTTACGCCTGAACTCCTTCCCCCATGGGCAAGCAAACCCACCTTGGCTATTGCAATGCAGAGCCTGGAACAGACGGCCAGGCTGAACCTTTCTCCTAGGCCCTTCCCTGCCCAGCTTACCCCCATAGATTCCTTCAATCCAGCCCTCACCCCCTGACACATCCCACACTCTGGTCAGGAAGAACATGTATCCTGTAATATGTTCAACAATATGATCTTTTCTGTGGTTCATCACCTTCAGTGTGCTACAACTGCCCCAAAACACTGTGCTCACTCCAAGACAGCAGTCTCAAATATCTGGATGTGTCCATGCTGCCAGCAAGATTCCAAAATTTACACACACACGGAACTAGATCACAGCCCAGCAACCACTGAGCTCTAATGCTTTTTTAGGTACGACTCCTTGGATAAGGTCTCTTCGCTCTCCAGAGTTCCAGTTTTCTGTAAAAATATAACTTTGTTCCTTGCTCAGGAAACAGGAACAGTGAGGTTCTGGGTTTATGTAGCACTCTTTGCAATGGAACTGCTGGCACTGGGATGAAAAGAGCTTCTGAACAGGCAAGTGACCACCTGAGTTCAAACCAGTAATGACTGGTAATGCAGGAAATTTCCCCAACCCTCACTGGAGAGAGCAAATGAAGACAGAGATAAACCAAGAAGCAGCATTTTAGTGCTCACTTTTCTAAGCATTCACAGAAGCCAGTGAGACAGTAACTGGGGTAAGCCCCAGGTGACCAAACAGCAGTGTAATTACAGAGATGCAAATGCTGCTGTGGAGGAAACCCAGCACCAAGGGCACCAAGAGCAGTCCGTGCTGCCCCTGCCGAGCCCCTTGGAGCTTGTCCTGATCTGTCCCCTCACTGAGCCCCACCCGAGGGGCAGACGGCAGGGCTGGCACAGCAGGGCAGGGCTCAGGTCTGTCCTGCTCCAGCAGCAGGGCTGGTGGCTCTGCCCGTGGGGCAAAGCCAGGTCCTGGCCCTGCCAGCACCACCACACAGCTCTGAAGCTCCACGTGCTGCCAGAGCAGCTGCAGCCCAGCCCGGCCCTCCCACTGGGATATCTGCGCTGGAAGAGCCCACAAAGGTTCCCAAAGTCTGCTCCTGCTGCCCCGGGAGCCCTCACTCTCCCTAGCTACCTGAGCGGTTACTGTAACAGTGGTGAAGAACTGTGTCTGAAACATCAAGCACCCAATTCTGCTGAAATGAGCAAGGAAATAAACAAACTGAGCGCTCATTTAACAAATCTCCATATTTTGAACCAAACTCTCAGTTTTTGCAGCGAGGGCTTTTGTTCTAAGCCTGGGAAAGGAATGCAGCTGCAAACGGGGGCCGTTGGTGTCTCACTGGGGGGGTACTGTCAGAGCAGGAGCAAAGAGTTTGGAGAAGCCCCAGCCAAGCACATCCTGTGCCTCCCACTATATCCCAGAGCACTCCTCTGGACCATAAAACTGACTTCAGCCCTTTTCTTTGCTGCTCCTGGTACCTAATACAATTTGGCTTTGTATCCTTATCCTTGGAGTCCCTCATCTGCCCCAAACATTTCCTGACTCCCAGAGTAACCTCTCTAATATGTTACTAAGCTACAGTATTTCTTCAGAGCCCTGTACACCCGCCTCACCTGAAGGCTCCTAAAACCCAAGCACAATGTGACAAAAAGCTCCTTTACACCCAAAATACCGGTGTCTTACCAGGTACACTCCGACTGGCTCCACCAACACACACAGAACCACAGCATTAAGCACAAACACTTGCTCAGGACTTTCTTCAAGCCTTGTAGAAGAGCAAAAGTGCAACTGAACAGGAAGAGAGTGAAAAAACAAAACAAGGCAAGAGAGAGCAGAATACAGAGTGCTGGAATGCAAGAAAACTGACTGCTCAGCTGTGTGTAAAACACACACTTCGCTCCTAACAGGCAATCTGCACCAGGTTCAACTCCTGCCACCTGCTTGTTTCTTGGGACAACTCAACTAAACCACGTGCACGCTGATAGCCTCAGCGCTATCTCCACCAGCTCGGAGAAACCAGAGATGCTGGGGAGTGCAGAACCCACACCTGCAGCTGGGGCCTCGCCCAGCCCCTGCACAGGTACCAGCTATAGCCCCAGGTGAGTGAAGGTAGAGCCCTGTCCCAGCTGTGGGAGGGCTGAGTGAACCCAGCACACCCTAAAAACCAGGGTCACTCTGCCCTCCGTCACCCCAGCCTGGGCCCTGACACACCCAGCTCTGTGCAGAGGGACACTGACCCCCTGAACCACCCAGCTCCATGCAGAGGGACACTGACCCCCTGACACACCCAGCTCTGTGCAGAGGGCTGCCAGAGCTGCTTACACACGTTAATCCCTTTGAGGTCACTCTCAGTGCTCCAGCAATGTCCCTGTGCCACTGGCAAGGGCCAGCTCAGACCCTGCCAGCCATCTCCACACACATCCTCTGAGTGAATCTCAGGAGCCCATGCACCAGTTCTGCATCTTCCTGAGAACCAGAGCCCAGGGGTGCTCACACAGAGAGGAGGAAGCACTTCTGGTCACTGGTTTGTCACCTGCATGATTGCTGCTGCAGTCCAAGAGACAGTGACGTGTCTGGCAAAACAGCTTATGGACCTAGAGCAGCAAAAATTCAACAGCTGAACAGGACAACCTCCCCAAACCAGCCTCAGGGCTAGGAAGCGAACGCTGAGAGGTGTACCTGGGGTGGCTGCAGGGACCAGGATGAATCCTAAGTGAATTCAGCTGTTAGCTGGCTGCCCAGAAGGGAAAACAAAGCAGCACATTACAGTACTCACAGAGGGCCTTAAGCTCACAGACCCGCGGGGCCAGCAGCCCCACACTGCCCTCACACCAGCCAAGAGCTCCAAGGGCACTTCCTGCAGCCTCCTGCACTGGGGGGACACGGGCAAACACCTGGATCCTCAGGCAGGTGTGGGTCTGGGCAGCTCATCTGCCCACAAGGAGCCCAGCAAAGCCAGGACGGGCAACAGGAGGCTGACAGCAGCCATGAGAATTCTTCCTACAGATTTTCCTACAAATAAATAAAAATAGAGAGGAAGCACAGCAAGACATCCAACACTTCAGGGGAGAAAATCAGGCATTTCTCCTGAGAATTTCCCACTTGCTTTCACCCAAACTCTCCTTCCCTTGGTTTTTTACCCCGAATTCCTCATTTCCCGCAGGGATTTACCCAGCCGCACGTGTCCCCCACCGCACGGGGGGACTCCCCACGCAGGAGCCGGAACACGCGGCTGCCGTGTGGGATTCGGGCAAGGCTGGGCGGCACCGGGAGAGGCAAGGTGCCCCTCCCGGCCTCGCCCGGGAGGGCCGGGGTGCCCGAGAGCCCCCGCACCTCCTCGCCGGGTGTGGACGCCGCCGCGCCGCCAGCCTCAGCCCCTCACCTCCATGGAGACGCGCCATCCCTGCATGGCGCTGAACCCGAAGTGCAGCGGGCGCGGCCCGAGCCCGGCGCCGTCCCCGGAGCTCTTCACCGTGTTGGGCTGCGACAAGTAGGCGCCCATTGCGGCCGCGGCGGCCTCGGTCGGCGGCGACCGGACCGGAGCGGGGGGCGCGGGCGGACTGCGGAGGCGGCGGGACCTCGCACCGGCGGGCGGCGACCGGAAGTCGCGCGGCCGGAAGCTCGGCGGCCGGAAGCGCCAACCATAGAGGCGCGGCTAGAGCGGCACCGCGGCCCGCTCCGCCCCGGGACTACCTACACGGCCCGCAGGTGGCTTCGACCTGCCCTGAGACTCCTCCGGGGGAACAGCGGGCTTGGGACCGGCGATGCCGCCGCCAGCCGGAGCCGCTCGCACAGACAAAGCCGCGCACGCTCACAACTACCGGAATTATTGCCCTGCCCCTCTGTATGAGGGGCCCTTGCGCACACAGCACCTTATATAGGCTGAGTCACGCCCACCGGCCAATCAGCGACCCTGAGCGCCCCCTCTCGCTATCTCATTGGCTGTTGCACGAGGCTGCCCCGCCCCATTCACGATCTTTCACGGCCCTTCGCGCAGGGCGCCCCCTGTCGTGTGACGCACCGCGGAGCCCCGCCCACCGGCCATTGGCGGGTGCTGACGCGCCGCTCGCGGCGCTGATTGGCTGCGGCAGAGGCCCCACCCCGCACGGCGCGTTACGCAGCGCGGCGGTTGCGGCGGGGACGTGCTCGGGACCGGGAGGTGCTGCGGGCCCGGTAAGTGCGCGGTTCCCACCCCTCGGCCCCCGCCTCGCCCCGGGACCCGCTAGCTCGGGCGCCGCTGGCAGGCCCGGGGCGCGGCCCCGGCTGACAGGCCCGGCGGGCGCGGCCCGGTCCGGCCCGGTGGGCCCGGCTCGGCCTGGCCTGGCGCCCCGCCGCGCCTCACGGACCGCACCTCTGCCGCAGGGGTGCGACCGCAGCATGTCGGAGGGCGAGTCCAAGCAGGTGCCCAGCAGCGGCTCCGACCCCAAGCCGGAGCCCGCCTCGTCTGGCCCGGGGATGACCTCGGTGTCTGCGCCGGTGACTTCCGCGGCGCCCCCAGAGGAGGAGGAGGAGGAGAGCGAGGACGAGTCCGAGATCCTGGAGGAGTCGCCGTGCGGCCGCTGGCAGAAGCGGCGCGAGGAGGTCAGTGCCGGGAGCCGGTTCCCGGAGCTGGGCTGCGGCGGAGCCCGGGCGGGGCCCGGCGGGCGCTTGTCCCGCTTGTCCCGCTTTCCCCCCACCCCGGGGTCCTCCTGCCACCTGTTCCCGGGACAACGGGGCCCCGCCGGGGGGCTCCGTGGCGCTCCCGGGAGGCGGGGAGGTGCGTGGCCCTTCTCCTGCCTGCCGGCTGCCGTTCCTCGGCGCGGAGCAGTGATGAGTGCCCTGCCGCAGGCCGCTGTGACGGCCAGCTGCTGCCGCTGTGCGCTGGGGAGTGGCTCCGGCTCTCCCGGTGCGCGTCGCGTTCTGCAGATCTTTCTCTCTGGGAGCGGTGAAGAGCAGTGACTGGGCAGTTCTTGGTGTTCTCCCTGCTGCCCAGGTGGCTGGTTACCTGAGCCGGTTAGCCGGGCTCCTCAGCTTTGAGTGCTTGCTTTGCTTTGTCGTCTGCAATCAGGATAGAGCACAGTCAGCTCACACAGGCTTGTTCCTTGGCCTGTCCTGCCCTACCCACCCTCAGCGCCTGTGCTGGCAGCGTGCTGTGTCAAGGCACGAGGAGATTAGATCGTGGTGTTTGGGACCTATCCTTTTTTCCGCTCGTTGCTGGGCTCTGTTTTTCTTCCTGGGGGCTGTCTGCACGAGCTGGTTTCTGCTCTGTGCTGGCACAGTGCCTCTCCCCTGGCTGGGCAGGCTGTGCAGCCCTGGCAGGTGCTGACAGCCAGACAAGTGCTGCTCCAGCACTGCTGCGGCACAAGTGCTGATGGGGCTTTTCTCAGCCAGCTCCGGGGCTGAGCACAGGGGTTTGTCTGCTTTGTCCAGCACTGCAAAAAGGGCAGTGCAAACCCCAGTAGTACTGAGGGAGTCGTTTGTTCTGATGTAAATTTGGAGGTCAGAGTAAAGTCAGGGATTCCCTGCAGTTCTTCACCTTTGCTGAGAGCTGTCGTGGTTTGGTTTAATGTGAGCCAAACGCTGGCGTGGTGTGGTCAGAATGTGCCTTTTCTAGTGTGGCTCTGCAGATTGGTTACAAATGTAGCGTTAACAGTAGGGGAAAAAAGTTTCCTTTTTCTCTTTTTTAAGGAAGTGTGAATGTCTGGTTCTGTCCTTCTCAATATATTCTGTACCTGAAGTGCTTTATCTCTTGCTCTGTGCTGAAGGGGCACATGCTGGAGAACAAAGCTGGTTTGTTTGTGCTGTGTTTTCAGTGTGTTTTATTTGGTGCTGATCATTCTGACACAAGGAGACACAGGGTTTTCTGTGCTCTCCTACACCACAAGTAACATTTGGGAGGCTCTAGTGTTTTCTTTGGGTTTCAGTCCCCCCTCAGCAGACAAATTAAATTAATTGACATTTTGGCATGGCTGAATGATTGTCTCACGGCGTCAGGTTGCCACTGTGGAGGTCAGAGTTCTCTGTGCCACCACAGGCTGAGGGATGGGCGTCGGGGCCACAGAACACATCCTTGTTGAGTGAGCTGGGTAAGCTGGGGGCTGCTCCTGCTGAAGCCTTCACTCTTGCACATACTTGTGTCTGACAGGAAGCAGCCTCGGCTGCAGCCTGGCGTGTCTCTAGATTTCACATGTGAATTTGTGTCTCAGTGAGCCCCCAGCTTGTGCAGAGGCTTTTGTTGCCTGAGCTGCATGACAGCAGACTCTCTTTGCTGTCACAGTCACTGGGCTGATCTCTCTTGCTGCAGGTGTCCCAGCCTGGAGTTTATTTGGTGTAGCAGCTGTGCTGAGTGTCCCAGGGCAGAGTGCCCTTTTTCCCGGGGAGGTGTGACAGCTCAGCCTGCTCTGGTTATTCCTGTCTGTGCAGTGTGTTAACAGGCTCTTACTCACCACTGCTCTCAGGGAGATGGGTTACTCTGGAAAAAGCATTTGCCGACCTTTTCCCAGTGATGCAATCCCTATCTTTTATTATGGCACTATCAGCTGGATGTGGGATGAGGTGGCACCGTGGAAACAATGAGACATGAGAATCTGAGAGGAATGGGTGCACACACATGGTTGAGACAATGTGTTCTGCCTGGTACTTCCCATGTGTGACATTCTTTCCTGCTTGTCCCGAG